TCCTCTGAGTGGATAAGAAGGTTCCCCTTTCTTGGCATTTTAGGTACCTATACATTCTTGCTGTCACCATGATCTCAGCCACTACCTTGGGATGATCTAGGGATTGGGACACAAGAGAATCAAGGGGAAAAAAATGATTTCTCCCTTCTTTGAGCCCTTTCCTATTCTGTGAGCCCAAGCTACAGGGCCTTCCTAGAGTTTTTCTGTGCCATGCCCCAGTGCCCACTTCCAAATCTAGGCTGCCTTGAATCCAGGCCAGGGGGTAGGAGAAATTACTTCCTCAGTGATTCAGTGGTACTTTGAATTCTTGTCTTGTCTTCTTCCCCAGTCTTCCTGCTATGATTTATCTTGTAGAGTCTTTAACTCCTTCATGAATTCTCCCCAGGTTTTTTTAGCTGCATTCAGTGGAACACACAGGGTAGTTTGTGTTTATTTCATCTTAACCAAATCTGACCTCAGTTATATATTTTTTTACCTTTGTTTAAGTTAACAGGTGTTCATGGAGATTGTGAATTACATTTACTGTGACTCTGATGGACAATTATACCAAAAATATATGCACATATGTAGAAATTAGAGGATACAAGAGAGAAAAATGAAGCCTTCTGGAAATACTCTGAGAAAGTACACAGTAAAAAAAATCATTTCTAATTAAAGTTTGAACACTTTATGTTTGAATTCAGGAATCTATTGGCATTTACTTCTGAGCAGGGTGGGGAAGACTTACAGAATGAGAGAAATGTGAACTGATCTTTCAAGAATAGGATTAGTAAGTTTTTCAGATGGAATGGATAACAGCACTCTAGACAGAGGGGTCAGCTTGAGAAAAGGGAGGTATAAATGTTCATGGCATGTGTGCATGCATGTTACAGAGGAAGAGACGAAAGCAGGAAAGGAAAATCTGGTTCAGTTACCCACTTCTTGCACCTTATTAGAAATTGCTATAAAATCTTCCCTCAAACGCATTTGAAATGGTTAGAAACACACTGGTATGAATTCGAAATGAAAGTTTTAGAATTTTGAACATGTGCTTAATAACCAGTCCTGTACTTCGAACTGTTCTCTCCTGCCATTGACATTAAGCCTTCTGGATTTTTGGTTAACATGAATGGCTAAAATTAACAAGTCAGGAAACAACAGATGTTGGCAGGGATGCAGAGAAAGGGGAACCCTCCTACACTGTTGGTGGGAATGCAAGCTGGTGTAGCCACTCTGGAAAACAGTTTGGAGGTTCCTCAAAAATTTGAAAATAGAACTACCATACGATCCAGCAATTGCACTACTGGGTATTTACCCCAAAGATACAAATGTAATGATCCGAAGGAGTACATGCACCCCGATGTTTATAGCAGCAATGTCCACAATAGCCAAACTATGGAAAGAGCCAAGATGTCCATCAACAGATGAATGGATAAAGAAGATGTGGTATATATATACAATGGAATATTATGCAGCCATCAAAAGGAATGAAATCTTGCCATTTGCAACAACATGGATGGAACTGGAAGTTATTATGCTGAGTGAAATAAGTCAATCAGAGAAAGACATGTATCATATGATCTCACTGATATGAGGAATTCTTAATCTCAGGAAACAAACTGAGGGTTGCTGGAGTGGTTGGGGGGTGGGAGGGATGGGGTGGCTGGGTGATAGACATGGGGGAGGGTATGTGCTAGGGTGAGCGCTGTGAATTGTGCAAGACTGTTGAATCACAGACCTGTACCTCTGAAACAAATAATACATTATATGTTAAAAAAAAAAAGAGAAGAAGAAGAGGAAGATAGCAGGAAGGGAAAAATGAAGGGGTGGAATCGGAGGGGGAGACGAGCCATGAGAGACTATGGACTCTGAGAAACAAACTGAGGGTTCTAGAGGGGAGGGGGGTGGGGGTTGGGTTAGCCTGGTGATGGGTTTTAAAGAGGGCACATATTGATTGCAGCACTGGGTGTTACACGCAAACAATGAATCATGGAACATTACATCAAAAACTAATGATGGTAATGTATGGTGATTAACATAACATAATAAAATAAAAAATCAATAAGATTAGAATCAATCAGCTAATTTTAGTAAGAGCAAAATGGAGGAATTGTTATATTTTGTTGGAACTATTAATATTTATATATTTTTTAAAAAACATGAATTGCATTTGCCATTCTTGCTTTTACTTACTAGGAATTACATCTTATGGCAAAATAAACAAGTGCTGTCTCTTTTAATCTAAATTTGTGATATTAGCCATTGACTTATTTTTCAATTAAACTTTAAATTTTGAGATACAGATTTGCAAATAATTCACAGATAGTTCCAGATTCACAAATAATTCAGAGATCCTGTTGTATACCCTTTACTCTGTTTTCCCCATTGGTAACGTCTTGCAAAACTGTAGTATAGTATCACAACCAGAATATCAACATTGATATAGACAAGATACAGAACAATTCCATCACCACTAAGCTCCCTCCTTGCCTTTTATATGCCCACCCTCCCCTCCCCTCTGCCCCAACCCTAATCCCTCACAACCACACATCTCTTCTCCATTTTTATAATTTTGTTATTTCAAGAATGTTATATAAACAGAATCATACAGTGTGTAATTTTTTGGATTGACTTTTTTCACTTTCCAAATTTCTTGAGAGATTAATCTGAAGTGTTGGATATATCAATAAATTGTCCCTTTTTATTGCTGAGTAGTATTTCATGACTTATTTTTCAGCTATAATTTGCCACTATTTGAAAAAACAAAGTCTTTTACTTGAGAATTTTTCCTCATTTACATATTTTCTTTGGAATTTAAAATAAAAGCAAAAGCCTTAGAAATATTCCAGTTTACCTTTCTAGGTTGCATTTAGGTTAGTCAATCACAGTGTGTTGACATTAGTAAGTCTTACAAGAGAGAAAATCTTATGCACAAGGAGATTCTGTTACTTTGCTACCCTTGTATTTTCTAAGCTCTAAGTAGGATCAGAGCACATGAGGGTGAAGGCTGCTTGAATAGTATTTAGCTGTTCCAGTACACCCTCATGCTGGTCCATTAATGAAGCAGGAAGGAGCCTGTTCCTGGCAGCACTCCATAGTGAAAGAGGTGTGTTCATGCTGCAGACCAGCATTAGGATATTTTCTATTTTTGTTAGGCAATATGATTTTAGTTGTTCAACCAAAGTTCCAAACCCAGTGATGAGGGAAAGAATGGAGACTTCCAGTCTTTAAATTGCAGTAAAGAAGTGAGACCAAATTCTGAAGTATGTTAAATGCTCATCTAAGGAGACTAGATTTTATCCTGAGCAGAAATGAAGAAATCATTTAACTGAATTGCAGACAGATTTTTAATTAGCTATAATAACTATAAGTAGTAAAATTAGTATTGTCCAAAATATCATTTTAACTTTTAGTATCACTGTCATCTTTCATCTTAGTAAGTAACTCTGGCTGTCTTAATTCTCATTTCAGGAGAAATAAAGAACATAGATCGATTAACAATAAATAACTATATTACTATCCTATCCAACTGTCACACTGTTTATTATTTTAGTTTAAGTAGATGCTTCAGAGAGAGGAAAAAAGATGTTAGAGAATTGCAAACACTTAGCCAACACTGGTGTTTGTCCTACTATATTATAAATACTTTAGCACAGGTTTTTTAATTGTCATTTTGCTGATGGCAAGTATAAAATGAGAATTATTTATCAGACATTAATCTTTTTATTATCTACTTTAGACAGTGTTTTCCATGCTGATCTAAAGAAGTTTATGCATATTTTAACTATTTTCACATAGTGATCATCTTTAATGATCTTTAATAATATAAAAGTTAATGAGTAAAGAAAATCTGCTGAATAAATCCACCTGATAATCCAAGGCACTTACAGAAATACATGATTTAATATGAGCAAAGATTTTACTTGATTAGTGTTCTATTTCTCAATTCAATTATCAAACTTAGGGGAAATCTAAATCAAGATTTTTGACTGACATATTCAATGGGATTTGATTGGGGTGCAGATTAACTACATGATGTGATGTTTTAGCATGACTTTATAAGTATTCTGATCATAATTATGTATTCTCTGCTGCTAGTTTTTTTAAAAGCAGTTTTTAACTCCTTCATGTTTTTATATATGTACATGTCCTTAATAAACTATTATAATAAAATGTACCTGAATATACAAAACATACTTTCTGCTTGCTAAAATAATATACCTATTTACTCTGATCTTATTCTGTGTAGAATACTACAGTCAACTCGCTATAAGGTGGCAAAGGAGGACAACTGACATCTAAAAATGTTTACCAGAACTGTTATTACTATGATTTATCAGTAGTTAGAATAATGAATAGAGTGAAAGAGCAAGTATAGTGCCCTAGGTGTTTACTCTGGACATAGTTAAGTTTAGTACAGTCTTCCTCTAGTTAGCCCCTGGTCCTCTGGTCATACAGGCAAGGGTGGAGTGGGAAGTAGGTTTTACAACCACTCAGACCTGAATTCAGATTCCACTTCTACCACCTAATAGCAGAGTGTCCTTGGGCTATTTAACCTCTTCAAGCCTCAAGTTTTGGTTGTCTTTTTTTTTTTTTTTTTACTTATAGGTAGTTATGAAGGTTAAAGGAAATAAGTTTATCAATCATCTAGCACAGTGCCTAAAATGTAGGAACTTGTACTTTGCAGAAGAAATAAAAAAAAAGAAAGGAATCCTGCTACCTACAGGTAGAACGCCTCTCCCAAAAAAACACTAAAATCCCAGTATGTGTATAGTTATTTGTATAATTCCAGGATTATATCTAAATCTTGACTAATTTTGCTTCTCTAAGATACGTTTGTGAGTTTGGTAAAACTATCTGCTTAATCTCTTCTAAAAAGTTCACTTTTCAAGGACACATTACTTCTAAAAGGGAAAAAAATCCAAATTAAATATAATCTAAAAGTTCCTCTTCAGATTTCTAGATGTTAAAGATGTTTGTGCCACATGGATCTATTTTAATCCTTTGTTCTTTGATTTTAGCAGGAAAGGAAGGACAAGAAATCCTGGGGCCTGAAGCTCAGGCAGATGAAGCGGGATGTGCAGGTACGTGCTCGTCAATTTCTTTGATACTGTAGCCTTTGAACAAGGTCTTTTTGTGTCACTGGTTTTTGCATTTGTGAGTCGTGAATTTAGTCTGTTTCCTCCTCTTTTATCTTGACCTTCTTCAGTGTTTCAGTATGTAGGCATATAGGGCACTATATGAAAAGTTAGAAGTTTATATTCTTTAAATACAGTGTAAATTTGCAGATTCATCTAACACAGCATATTTTCCATTCTATAAGGATGACAAGAACAATCTACAGATAATCCAGAAAATAAGTATTTAAATGATTTGAATTTATATCAAATTTTTTACCAAAGCTATAGAAATACAGATTTAACTATTTTGAGTTTCATTATTAGTTACCAGGATCTGCATTGAGTTGCCCACAAGACAGAAAGCAGAAGGGAAAAGAATAAGCAAATATCATGAGTTATCTATAAACCAGATGAGAATCATGAATATTGATGAGCTGAGTCAACATGTCACAGCAAACAAGAGAATCAAAATTTTTTCTTGTAATTTCTGTGATTTAGAAAAAGGTTAAGATGAAGTTAAATTATAGTAAACAAGAAAATTTGTTTCTATGTGACTAAAAGTACATACTCCCTGAGACTTAATGCTATTCCTTAATAATGGATTCAAATCAGATTTAAGAAGCAAAAGAGTAAGTGGAAAACTTAAATCAAGATCTTATGTATGATAACACCAGGCACTTATTATTGTGTCATATAAGTCAGCAAGAACTCTAAGAATGAAAATTTCAAAGATGAATTCCAAGTTATTAAAACATTTCCTCAAAATACTGTACTTCAAAGTAGTATAGTTGTATTTTGTCTATTCAATCATAAATTAGAAATTTCTATCATACCATTTTAATTAAATTTTGTTTTTTCTTCTCTTTTTTGGTTTAACACTTCTAGTTTTTTCTTTTCTCTGCAGTGCATTTTAGGAATATTCCATAGAGCCCTATAAATTATCTTTCATTATGTAAGACGAGTATATTTCATAGTAATAAGTCAAAATAGATTTTCATCTATAATACAAACAGGCACTTCCATACTTGTCAGTCAGTTCTGTAAAACAAAGAGTAAATCTTCATGCTGTTATTAAAGATCCATTCCAAATTAATTAAATAATAATGGGATATGTGATGATTTATGGCACCTGCTGCCTAAGATTTTATATTCTGCTTTTAACTTGGTTGTGTTTAACTTGAATGAATAATGTATTCAAATATGTTGTTATCAAATATTTGTCATGCTAACTTACACATTATATAAAATATTTAAACTCGGTATTATTAGTTAAAATAGTCTTAATGAACATGAAAGAATGCTGCTTATTACTCTTTCACCTAATGTTAAAGTTAGATGCTTTACATTACCAGAGTTACAGAAGATCATTTGCCCTTTTAGGCAAAATGCTATCAAAAAAAAATTCACAATTCCAAGTGTCAGTATTTTACCTCACGCTTTGCTCTTCACTACAAAAATAAATTCTTTCATTTAATACTGAGTAGTATATAAATTCCCTTAACCACCCCCTCCCCAAAATAATCACATCTGGAAGGTAAAGTAACCTTGTATTAACTTAAATTGTTGCTGAAATGTGAGGTCTCCCCCACCCAGTGGAAGATGATCCCTGCTGCATTATTTCCCTGCTGGAACATGGGGAGTTAGGAGTAAGCAAACATTTAATAAAGCCCTGATAAGTGTAGTTTTAAGGGAAGAAGGATAGAAATTGGACGGTTGAGGCTTTTGAGCATTTAAACTTAAAAATTATGTTTTGCCTTTGCTTCTGTTACTTCCTTGACTTCTAGGGAATAATGTGCTGACAAAGTAAACAAAAGCATTGTACAAAGGTCACGATCATTAGTTCAGAACTTTGTCAGGTCCTTTCTTCAGCTGATTTCCTTTTGTAATTCATGAAGTTAAGAGAACTGTACTCTCAGCTTAGTATTCAGAGAGTGAAAAATTCACCCAAAACATCCTTTGTTCCTTCTGAGCATCCCTTTTTTGTTTATATAGTTAATAGTTTTACAAAGTTTGAAAAATGGAAGGTAAAGTTAGGAAGAAGCCTGAGGACAGCTGATCAGAAATACCGTCAAATGGATTTCACACATGAGAGTGGCTCAGGTCATGATTCTAGTGGAAAAATATAGCTAAATAATTTTTAATCTTTATATTAAATGTTTGCCTCTCTCTCTAATTTGTGATTATAACCCTATAATTCTACACTTCGATAAATGGTTATGGTCATATAGACCTGTAGTCCAAAGTAATTTTATATTTCACAGTCAGCTCTGAGTTTTGTCATATCTAAAGAAAGCCAAATTATTATGTTTCTATGTATTTGCTCATCTCTCTACTATTTAAATATGTAAGTTTATCTGTCTTTAGACGAGAAATTTTGCTTTATAATTATCAGTACTACACAGTTGACCACAACATAAATACATTACAAATTTTAACATAATTATTACCAAAAAATTGTTACTGGAAATGAGATTGAAGGAGCTGAAGTATTCTTCAGTTAGTTCATTTATCAATAGTTTAATGTTACTTATTTCTCCTTTTTTTAAGATTTTATTTATTTATTTGAGAGAGAGCATGAGCAAGGGAGGGGAGAAGCAGAGGGAGAAGCAGACTCCCTGCTGAGCAGGGAGCCCGATGCGGGACTCAATCCCAGGACCCTGAGATCATGACCCGAGCCAAAGGCAACCGCTTAACCGACTGAGCCCCCCCCCCAAGTTCCCCAATGTTCCTTATTTCTAGAAGAAAAAATGTTCAGGATTAATTCTGTTTCTTGTTTTGTTTAGCACTCAGATAACCTTATTCTCATAAATAAAAAGGTGAAATACATTTTTGTGATAACTGATTTACTTTCATTCTTTATACATCCTTAGAATGATGTGCAGTTATATATCAATAAAAATACTTTTAGGGGCGCCTGGGTGGCTCAGTCGGTTAAGCGTCTGCCTTCGGCTCAGGTCATGATCCCAGGGTCCTGGGATCGAGCCCCGCATCGGGCTCCTTGCTTGGCGGGAGGCCTGCTTCTCCTTCTCCCACTCCCCCTGCTTGTGTTCCCTCTCTCGCTGTGTCTCTCTCTATCAAATAAATAAAATCTTTAAAAAAAAAAAATACTTTTAATGTCCTGTTAACTGACAGTTGTATTAAATGCTTCTTCAATTCTGTTGAAAGCAAAAATTCAAAGCTGTCTAATTTGCTCAAGATTCCTTCACTAGACTCTTCCAGTCACAGAATCTTTCACTCCCTGATTTTCTGGGACATATACCAAAACAGCTTTGCCAACACTTCTCGAAGTACTTATGCTACCTGTTCTTGACCTTTGTTATTTCTTCCTCTCACTTAGAGGCACCTTGATTAATATATTCAGAAATGGTTAGGAAAATTGAAATATTGTTAATTTCGGTACCTTTTGCCAATACATTTTGTGTAAAAATCCTTTTATCTTACCACATGAGATAATAATATTCTCATTAATGCCTTAGAGCTACAAACTTATTAGTTCATTCAGTTTCTGGAAATTTTGTACCTAATTACCTAACTAGCAAAGCCAGGTATTACTGTTATACCAATCAGCCTTATCAGACTTTCTGTCAAGAAAAAAGTGTATTTTCATTTTTCTAATTCAAATAATTTTGTCAATACACAATTTGAGAGATTTTGTAAAAATTTCCTTTATGAAAAATATATAAATTATAAATAATGAGGAATATACAAAGCATAAATAGATGTATCTTTAAAAAAAATAGATTATTCACTTAACTATAGAGAACAAACTGATGGTTACCAGAAGGGAGATGGGTGGAGGGATGGGTTAAATAGGTGAAGGGGATTAAGGAGGGCACTTGTTGTGATGAGCACCAGGTGTTGTATAGAATTGTTGAATCACTATATTGTACACCTGAAACTAATATTATGCTATTTATTAACTAGACTGGAATTAAAATTAAAAACTAATAATTTTTTTAAAAAATAGATTATTCAATAGTGAGATGAAGATTATTTATATCTAATATAATTTTTTTTAGTTATAAAAATTTTTGTCTCCAAATGAGTAGTACATTTAGAACCAGTCAGTACATAGGTAAACTTCTAACTTATTGAAGATGCAAGGTTCATGTATAAAATACAGACTATATAATGCTGCAAAATGTATACTATTTAAAAACTCATTACTCTAGCATCTAGCCTATATACACACATATATACACACATACTTAATAGGATGTAGAAAACTATAAATTTTTTATAAGTGAAGACTTTAATAGAAATAAATATAATTTGATAAAAATATTTTAAGCATCTTGTAATCTATATGGAATTGATAATAAATCACATAAAATATAAATTTCACTCATGAGTTTTATTTAGTTTAACTTGAAATTTTGAAGTTACATTGAAAAGAGTCAGTGACACTGACTTGGACTGCTTTAGCTATTCAAAAATGCTTATTTTTCCAGCTAATAACAGATTGTAGGAATGATTTTTGAGAATACTCTGACCAGGCTCCTGAAGAGCAATGAAATTTTTAATAATAGTTAGGGAATGGAACAGATGAGATCATTAAAGGAAAACTACTCTCACTCCCTCTGGCCATATTATTATATAGCTGATTTCAGAGCTTCCTAACTAGAGCCAAAATATCCCCATTTCAGAAAATTGCCATGCTTTACCCCTGATAGAAATCCATGTAAACAGGAAAAATTGGAAGACCTGTGGTGGTTTTAGGTTGTCTTGATTAATCAATAAGAAAGTTTTCCCAGGGTGCCTGGGTGGCTCAGTCCCTTAAGCCTTCAGCTCAGGTCATGATCCTGGAATCCTTGGATGGAGCACTCCCCTCCCCTCTGTGCAGGAAGTCTGCTTCTCCCTCTGCCCCTCCCCCTGCTCCTTCTCGCTCTCGCTCTCAAATAAATAAATAAATAAATCTTTAAAAATAAAGAGGGGAAAAAAAAGAAAGAAAAAAAGAAAAGAAAGTTTTCCTCAATCAGTATTTTGAATTTTTTCCTTTGGCAACCTGGAGGTTTTTACACTCCAAGGCAATGCACCATATTAATGTACTGGGATATGGCTTTTTTCTTCTTCCTTTTTTTTTTAAGATTTTATTTATTTATTTGAGAGAGAGAGCAGGGGTGGGGGGCAGGGCAGAGGGAGAGGGAGAAGTAGACCCCTCACTGAGCAGAAAGTCCAAGGGGGGCTTGATCCCAGGACCCTGAGATCATGATGAGCAGAAGGCAGACACTTAACCGACTGAGCCACCCAGGTACCGCTCTTCTTCCTTTTTTTAAAGATTTCATTTATTTATTTGAGAGAGAGACAACACCAACATGAACAGGGGTGGGGTAGGGGAAGCAGAGGGAGAGGGACAAACGGACTCCCAGCTGAGCACAGAGCCCGATGCAGGGCATAATCTCACAACTTTGAGGTCATGACCTGAGCTGAAATCAAGAGTCAGATGCTTAACCCACTGAACCACCCAGGCACCCCTTCTCTTCTTCCTTTTAAGTTTGAGCAAAGGATACTGTGGAAAGGGGAGAGTAGAGAGAAACCTTCCAGATTCTAAGAAAAAATATACACAGAAGTTGAGGATTTGGAAACAGACTCCCTTAAAACCCACAGTACCAGCTTTCCTCTTAAAGAGTCTTCACTCACCTGGATCCAGTAACCCATTGCTAAATAATTGATAGTTATTGGCTGTATTAAGAAGGAGGGGAAAATGGTGGGTCACCATTACTATAATGTCATTGGCTTTAAGATTTTAAACAGCAGCTGCCCTGAGGAGTTCACTTACTACCACTGTGCAGGAGATTTAGCAAGATTGTTTCAATAACTGTTACACAAAAACATGCCCACACCTCAGCATTTTAATTTGGCCCAATTTTAGTCTGCTGAGAAATGCTGTTTTACAAATATAGAACTGACAGTTCAGCCTGAAGTGTATAAAGAAGTCAGTCCTGAGACACCTGGGAGCCATACAACCCATCACAGTTACCACCAGCACGGAGGAGACACTGTCCTCTGGAGCCAGTGGAGGAAATGGGAGGGAAACCGTGGTGCAGCAGTACTGCTTTAGAAACTCAGCAGCACTCTGGGTCACCTTCTCAAAGTGAAAGCCTTCCATTATCTCTTGAACCTTTCCAACTGAAGGAAAAATGCCTCTGCCCTAAGCCCACTGTTAAACATTTATTGAAGCAGAATGAAAGGAAGAGTAGCCTTGTTTACCTCCTTGTTTAGATATGAATATAGAGGAGATGATTTGATACTCCTGACTCTTACTAGAAATTTTTCCAACTATAGATAATTATTGACACTGTTTTTAAGAAGTCACATAACTGCACTTGAAAGTGATATAAATTGAGCATGATTCAGGGCACCTGGGTGGCTCAGTCGTTAAGCGTCTGCCTTCGGCTCAGGTCATGGTCCCAGGGTCCTGGGATCGAGTCCCGCATCGGGCTCCCTGCTCGGTGGGAAACCTGCTTCTCCCTCTCACACTCCCCCTGCTTGTGTTCCCTCTCTCACTGTCTCTCTCTCTGTGTCAAATAAATAAATAAAATCTTAAAAAAAATAAATTGAACACAATTCAGATTTAAGCTACAACTCTAAGTAAATACCCAGTAGGTTGCTAGGAGGGACTAAGGTTTGAGAACTAAGGTTTTCTCCTTTTTTTCCTTGCTTTATCCTTGATTGAGAAATTAAGAGTTCAGTCAACTATATTACCTTTTCTGTGTCTTGTTTATCAGTCACATAGACTAGAAGTACACTCTAAAGTTTAAAAGGGATATCGTGAAAATTTCAAGACTTTTATAATGCTTTCTAAAGGACTTCTTAATAGTGGACAATAGAATGAGTGAATTTTGTTTTTACTTTTCGGTAAATATTTCCTACAAATTCAAGAACAATAGTGTATATTCTCTTAAGGTAAATAATTTCTTATTTAGCAAAGCTTTGTAACAACTTGGTGGTGAAACTGCTTTCTATAAAGTATGCATTTCTTTTAGTAAAAGATGATGAATGTGACTCAGATGCAGAAAATGAACAAAACCATGATCCTAATGTTGAAGAGTTCCTGCAACAACAAGACACTGCTGTCATTTACCCTGAGGCACCTGAAGAGGACCAGAGGCAGGGCACCCCAGAAGCCAGTGGTCATGATGACAGTGGTAAGTGGAGCTTCACAGTTGTTTTTGTTTTCATCTTGACAGGATTATTATTTCCATAGCTGTACGATGGGAACCTACTCTACTCTAGGGAACATTTCTGAAATCTAACATTTGTGGCAGGTGCCCATAGAAAATAATCTCTTTAATGAAAGGAAAATGTTTACGATAACAGTGGCATCTCCTGTGTACCGTGGTAAGGCCACTGCAGTGAAGCGCTTAGTAAAATAAGTCAATCAGAGAAAGACATGTATCATATGACCTCACTGATATGAGGAATTCTTTTTTTAAAATTTTTTATTGTTATGTTAATCACCATACATTACATCATTAGTTTTTGATGTAGTGTTCCACGATTCACTGTTTTCATATAACACCCAGTACTCCATGCAGTATGTACCCTCTTTAATACCCATCACCAGGCTAACCCATCCTCCCACCCCCCCCAGAACCCTCAGTTTGTTTTTCAGAGTCCATTGGCTCTCATGGTTTGTCTCCCCCTCGGATTCCCCCCTTCGTTCTTCCCCTCCTGCTATCTTCTTTTTTTTTTTCTTAACATATATTGCATTATTTGTTTCAGAGGTACAGATCTGTGATTCAACAGTCTTGCACAATTCACAGCGCTCACCATAGCACATACCCTCCCCAATGTCTATCACCCAGCCACCGCCCCCCCACTCCAGCAACCCTCAGTTTGTTTCCTGAGATTAAGAATTCCTCATATCAGTGAGATCATATGATACATGTCTTTCTCTGATTGACTTATTTCGCTCAGCATAACACCCTCCAGTTCCATCCACATTGTTGCAAATGGCAAGATCTCATTCCTTTTGATGGCTGCATAATATTCCATTGTGTGTGTGTGTGTGTGTGTGTGTGTGTGTGTGTGTATATATATATATATATATACCACACCTTCTTTATCCATTCATCTGTCGATGGACATCTTGGCTCTTTCCACAGTTTGGCTATTGTGGACATTGCTGCTATAAACGTCGGGGTGCACATACCCCTTCGGATCCCTACATTTGTATCTTTGGGGTAAATACCCAGTAGTGCAATTGCTGGATCATATGGTAGCTCTATTTTCAACTTTTTGAGGAACCTCCATACTGTTCTCCAGAGTGGCTGCACCAGCTTGCATTCCCACCAACAGTGTAGGAGGGTTCCCCTTTCTCCACATCCCCGCCAACATCTGTCGTTTCCTGACTTGTTAATTTTAGCCATATGAGGAATTCTTAATCTCAGGAAACAAACTGAGGGTTGCTAGAGTGGTGGGGGTGGGAGGGATGGGTGATAGACAGTGGGGAGGGTATGTGCTATGGTGAGCACTGTGAATTGTGTAAGACTGATGAATCATAGACCTCTTCCCCTGAGACAAATAATACATTATATGTTAAAAAAAAAAAAAAGATAGCAGGAGGGGAAGAATGAAGGGGGGGAAATTGGAGGGGAGACGAACCATGAGAGACGATGGACTGAGAAACAAATTGAGGGGGTGAGGGGATGAGTTAGCCCGGTGATGGGTACGTTAAAGAGGGCACGTTCTGCACGGAGCACTGGGTGTTATACGCAAACAATGAGTCATGGAACACTACATCAAAAACTAACGATGTAATGTATGGTGATTAACATAACATAATAAAAAATAATAATAATAAATAAAATAAATAAATAAATAAATAAAAGAACAATACCTGGATGTTGATTTGCATTCACCCACATGGCAGCAAGTAGAAATGGAGCTAGGATGACCTTTAACTGCCGCTTGATTTTTTTTCCACTATTCTGGCAAGCAAAATATGATTTGTTCAAAACATACCGATTTGGAGACAAATGAGGTTTTTTATATTTGCTCTAGTCTATTCTGATATGAACAGCCAGTATGTGAAAAGTGATAAAATGCAGTTCTAATATGTTCATACTCTCCTGAAAGGAAACAGGCTACCATTCCCTCCTTCCATGCTAGAAACAGATGACAATCACATACAAATATTCCTGTAAGAAATTTTATGCAAGATCTGCACCAAGAACTAAGAAGTCACTTGGAATGTTGAAGGATATTTAAAGTATTAAGATCCTAAATCTGGTTTGATTTTTCCAGGGTTCCCAGTTTAATGGATAGATTTAACTTAATATTTAAATAATCAACTTTTTAAAAAGACATATTTAGAGAAGCCTAAAGCTTACCAAAAAAGTAAGACAGAAGTACAGGTATTTCCCATGTACCCTTTGCCCCCTAATGTGCATAGCTTCTCCCATTATCAACATAACTCATCAGAAAACACCCAAAGTCCATAATCTACCTTAGGGTTCATTCTTGATGTTGTACATTCTTTGGGTTTGGACAAATAGGTAATGACATGTATCTATCATCATAATATCTCATGGAGTATTTTAATTGCCCTAAAAATCCTCTATGCTTTGCCTATTCATCTTTCCCCACCTCCCCTCACCCCTGGAAACCACAGATCTTTTTGTGTCTCCATAGTTCTGCCTTTCCCAGAATGTCATTTAGTTGGAATTATACAGCATGTAACCTTTTAAGTTGGCTTTTTTCACTTAGTAATATGCATTTAAGTTTCCTCCATATATCTTCATGGCTTGATAGCTCATTTCCTTTAAGTGCTGAATAATATTCTGTTGTCTGGATATACCATAGTGTATTTACCCATTCACCTACTGAAGGACACCTTGGTTCCAAGCTTTGGCAATTATGAATAAAGTTGCTATACACATCCATGTACAGATGTTTGTATAGACATAAGTTTTCCAACTCATTTGGGTAAATACCAAGGAGTGCATATGCTGGATCCTCTAGTAAGAGTATGTTTACTTTTGTAAGAAACTGCCAGACTGTCTTCCAAAGAGGCTGTGCCACTTTGCATCCTCACCAGCAGTGTGAGTTTCTTTTACTCCACATCCTTGCCAGCATGTTGTGGTGTCAGTGTTCTGGATTTTGGCCATTCTGATAGGTGTGTCGTGGTATCTTGTTTTAATTTGCTTCTGCCTGATGACATATGATGTGGAGCATCTATATTTGCCATCTGTATGTCGTCTTTGGTGAGGTGTCTTCTAAGGTCTTTGGACTATTTTTTAATCAAGTTAATTGATTTTTTTATTGTTGAATTTTAGGAGTCCTTTGTATATTTTGGATAATAGCCCTTAATCTGATGTGTCTTCTGCAAATATTCTTCCCAGTCTGTGACTTGTCTTCTAATTCTCTTGGGATCATCTTTCACAGGACAGAGTTTTCATTTTACTGAAGTCCAGCTTGTCAATTCTTTCTTTGGTGTTATATCTAAAAAGGCAGTGTCATACCTAGGGTCATGAAGGTTTTCCCCTATTTCTAGGAGCTTTATAGTTTTGCACTTTACAGTTAGGTTTGTGACCCATTTTGAGTTAATTTTTGTGAAGGGTGTAAGGTCTGTGTCTAGATTCATTTTTATGCATGTCCTGAATGTTCAGTTGTTCCATTACTATTTTTTTTATTTTGTGTTTAAATTCATTTTAGTTAATATATATTGTATTATTAGTTTCAGGGGTAGAATTTAGTGATTCATCAGTTACATATAACACCCAGTTTTCATTACATCAAGTGCCCTCCTTAATGCCCATCACCCAGTTACCCCATCCCCCCATCCACCTTCCCTCCAGCAACCCTCTGTTTGTTTCTAGAGCTAAGAGTCTCTTATGGTTTGCCTCCCTCTCTGTTTCTATCTTATTTTATTTTTCCTTCCCTTCCCCTATGTTCATCTGTTTTGTTTCTTAAATTCCACATATGTGTGAAATCATGGTATTGGTCTTTCTCTGACTTATTTCGCTTAGCATGATACCCTGTAGTTCCATCCACGTCATTGCAAATGGCAAGATTTCGTTCTTTTTGATGGCTGAGTCATAGTCCATTGAACTTATATATACCATATCTTCTTTATCCATTTATCTGTTGATGAGTCGTCTGGGCTCTTTCCATAGTTTGGCTGTTGTGGACATTGCTGATATAAACATTGGGGTGCATGTGCCCCTTCAAATCACTATTTTTGTATCCTTTGGATAAATACCTAGTAGTGCAATTGCTTGCTGGGTCATAGGGTAGTTCTACTTTTAACCTTTTGAGGAACCTCTGTACTGTTTTCCAGAGTGGCTGCACCAGCTTGCATTCCCACCAACATTGTAGGAGGGTTCCCTTTTCTCCGCATCCTCGCCAACATCTGTCCTTTCCTGACTTGTTAATTTTAGCCATTCTGACTGATGTGAGGTGGTATCTCATTGTGGTTTTGATTTGTATTTCCTTGATGATGAGTGATATTGAGCATTTTTTCATGTGTCTGTTAGCCATTTGTATGTCTTCTTTGGAGAAATGTCTGTTCATGTCTTCTGCCCATTTCTTGACTGGATTTTTTTGTTTTTTTGGGTATTGAATTTGAGTTCCTTATGGATTTTGGACACTAGCCCTTTATCTGATACGTCATTTGGGAATATCTTCTCCCATTCTGTACATTGCCTTTTAGTTTTGTTGATTGTTTCCTTTGCTGTGCCAAAAGCTTTTTATACTGATGAAGTCCCAATAGTTCATTTTTGCTTTTGTTTCCTGTTCCATTACCACTGTTGCAAAGACTATCTTTACTCCATTGTATTGCCTCTGCTCCTTTGTCAAAGACCAGTTGACTATATTTATGAGGATATTTCTGGCTCTCCGTTCCACTGTATTTCTGTATTCTTACACCAATAGCACACTGTTTTGATTACTATAGCTTTATAGTAAGTCTTAAAGTCAGGGAGTGTCAGTCCTCCATTTATTTTTCACCTTCCATGTTGTGTTGGCTATTCTGGGTCTTTTGCCTCTCCATATAAACTTTAGAATGTTTGTCAGTATCCATAAAAGGACTTTCCAAATTTGAATTGGAATTCCACTGAATCAAGTTGGGAAAAACTGGCATCTTGACAATATTGAACATTGAATGTCTCTCCATTTATTTAGTTCTTTGATTTTGTTCATCAGAATTTTACAGTTTTCCTCATATAAATCTTACACATATCTTTGTTAAATTTATGCATAAGTATTTCAACTTTTTTGGTGCTATAAGTAAATGTTATTGTATCAATCAACTTTAAATTTTTGAAGGAAATTGAGAAGAATGGTATAGAAAACAAAATAGATTCCATTGCAAAGAGTCAACTGTACCTTCCTTAAATCAGGAATCAGTTATGAAAAAGCAGAAATAGAAGTTTCACCTCAAAATAGATAGGATTTCCTGTAACTAAATCAGTGACAAAGGAAATAGAGGTAGGGCACTCTAGGACTGAATCCTCCACTGTGCCAAAAGGACACATTTTTGAAGACTAGATTATTGCCCCTGGGGACACAGCATTATAGCTTTATGAATAGTGTTGTGTTGATCTATTTGCATATTTGGAGAGTCTACAGTTCTAGGCATTGTAATCCTGTAGGGCCCTGCCATTTCTACTTTGATTTTCAGGGTTTTTTTCTCTTTTTTTAAAGATTTTATTGATTTATTTAGAGAGAGAACAGGGAGGGGGGGAGAGGGAGGAAGAGAGAATCCCAAGCAGAGTCTGCACTGAGCGTGGAGCCTGATGCAGGGCTCGAAGTCATGACCCTGAGATCATGACCTGAGCTGAAACCAAGAGTCGGACACTTAACCAACTGAGCCACCCACCCACCCACACACCCCAGTTTTTTTCCTTACGGAAAATTTGTTAACATTTCACCTGAAGAAGCTGTAGGTTACAATAAATATGGAAAGGAAATTTAAAAATTTTAATATATATGTATTTATGTACATATGTAAATGTTTATGTACCAAAAAGTTTTTCAAGAAGCCTCATGAAAGAAAATAATGAGAACTTAAAAAAAATGTTTCATTGCACAGACCAAATAAGGTTAAACTTTGTATAGTCCATTGTTACTAATCAACACAGTAAAGTCCCATAAAAATTGGGGCCCTAATCATTCTGAATTAATAAAACATTTGAATTCGAGAATCTGTTTTTAATTCAGGTAGTCATTACTTTCAGGTGTACAGCTAATAAAGTATTTCACAGTAGACATTCTGTCACACCAGTAACATCTGATTATCCTCAGAAGCCCTTAAGTTTTTAAAGTTTTAGTGGATTCAGGATGCTTTCCTGCACTTCATAAATTGTGAAAGGGCAAACTTTACCTCAGCAGGTTGAACTGTCACAAACTCTGAATCAGTGGGGCACAAATAAAGGAGATTTTTCAAAGGTTTTATATCAAGTACTACTATTAGTCTGTAATGTTATGCTACCTAGCAAAGGAAGTTTAGGATACAAAAATTAGAGGTTTTTTTAATAAGCATATTCACAGTCGCAGATACATAAGGAAATTACAGACAGGTCAAAAAAATAGACATAGGTTGGATTTTTTAGTAGTCCTGAATCGCTACCTTAAGCTTATTATAAGAATTCTAAGAAGATAATTTTTTTTCCTTACGTGACAAGCCTTCTTTGCTAAAAAAAAAAAAAAAAAGTGATTCCTTTAAATAAGCAAACATCCAATATTTTTCAAAAACAGAAACAAAGATTTTTATTTAACTTTCAAGCCTGTTCATTCTATAATTCACTTACTATGTCGGATATTCAGGTTTACTTTTCGTTGTTTTATGCCGGTATCCTAAAAGTTTGCTACCCTGTAACCTAAATTGCTTCCAAGACATCCCGATCACATTTCCTCACATTATTGGTCCCCATACTAATCACAGCTCCTTTCTGATTTACTAGCCGTGTGACTTTTAAGTTATTTAGCCTTTCTGAGCCTCCTGTTTTCTCTTGTATGAAATAGAGATGAGTATCATTGTATTGTTTTAAGGATCCAATATAAAGTGGGTGGCATAATATCTGGCACAAAGCATAGGGATTGAGTGGTAGCTTTGGTAATATTTTTTGAATGTTTTAAATTCAAAATATATGATCTTTCTTGTACAGGAACACCAGATGCATTCTCCCAGTTACTCACCTGCCCATATTGTGATAGAGGCTATAAACGCTTTACCTCTCTGAAAGAACACATTAAATATCGCCATGAAAAGAATGAAGATAATTTTAGTTGCTCCCTCTGCAGTTACACCTTTGCGTACAGAACTCAACTTGAACGTCACATGACGTCACATAAATCAGGAAGAGATCAAGTAAGTGAAATCAACCATCCATAGAGGGCAAGGGTTTTAACATACTTAAAAGGATGTACTAGACAGCATCTTACCTGCAGCCTTACAAGAATGCAAGTGATTATTTGAATTATCTGGTCATTTCTGGGTTACAAAGTACGTATGAACATTATTTCCAAGGTAACTAAGTTTTTTTATTCTTTTTCAGATAAGATTCCTTTCTTGATTTAATTATTTTGCTTATACTGTAACAAATATTTCCCTTAAGTTTAAAACTAGATTTCAAAATGCATTCTACCAAAATGCTCAGTGTAGGAAAAATAAATACTGGTTTCATAAACCATATGACTAAGTACTGACCAAACTGAGAAGAAAGTCAAATAATAATAATAAAAGTTAATTTTCTGGGAACCAAAGTCTACTTTATTTATTCTCAGTATAAGTTACTGTGTTCTGTTTACTGTAGGAAGGGAAGTTGCTTCCTCTAAGAATCTAAGGTTTAGATTCTAAACATTTTTATTCTGAAGACTCAATTTTCACATGGTTGGTTCTATTCCTATGTCACTTTGCCTCAATTTCTAGATGTATAAACCAAGACTATTCTTCTGTAAGTTAAGTTACATTTGAACTGTTGGCTCTATACTTAAAGATTAAAGGCTAAGAAACTCTTGCCGGTTGTCCTTCTTTTATAAGATCCTCATAAGTGTCAACTCTAAACAATCAAATTAATATCAACATGATTCTAACTTTAAAAATCAAATAAATATTCAGCTGCACAGTGTATTTTAAGGGTATGTGTTATCGTTGGGGCACATGTCCAGTTTCTTGTATCAGAGGATTATGACTGTCTATAAATGCGAATCTCTGAGAACTCTGCCCTATGCATGTACCTAATCTAAGTCCTGTATCTCGTAGAGAACAAGTTAGACTCTTTCTAAGATGATGGCTAAACCAAGCAAAAAAATTATGGCAGAAACAGAATCATCAAGCAGGGTCAACCTATCTTCTCAGGACTTTGGCAATAACACTCACCAAATCACAAAATAAAGGGGGAGAGGATAGCAATCAGGCAGTATAAAACCAAGATTTCCTTAGATAGGTTAATGGATAAGTCCATGAGGGAACACTTGAAATTGGGGAGAATACCGACAGAAGGAAGAAATCGATACAGAGAAGGAACTACTCAAGACAAAGACCATCTATCTACCATCTGCCCCTATGCAAGTCTTATCAGGGACAGTGCAAAAGAGTGCTTTTTCCATCTCAGAGTCTTAACATGACTACAGTACAGTCAAGCCTTGGGAAAAGAGCCTATTCATGTGACATTTGGGGAGCAGACCCAAACGGCACCTGTTGCCCCCATATCCTTTCTCTACCAAGGGCCATTGTCAAAGAAAGGATCTGCAAAGCACAGATATAGCTAATGGTGAAAGTGAGAGATGCCATTATAGAAACAAATCGTAAGATCAATGATGAGCATGAAAGCCAATTTTGTCGTGATTTTTCTGATGGGTGAAAGGTAGTAGGTTTTATATATGAAGTATGTGATCAGACAAAAATCAGAAAGAAGCTGTGATTAGTACGGGGACCAATAATGTGAGGAAATATGATCGGTATGTCTTGGAAACAATTTAGGTTACAGGGCAGCAAACTTGAGTTTGAAAAGCATGCTATGACTCAAAGATAAGCATTTCCATGTATTATTAATTTATTCATTAAACATTTGTGTTTCTATTACATGTCAGGCCCTATTCTAGGTATTAAAGGCACAATAATGAAAAAGATAAGCAAAGATCAAGACAGTGGGGAGGAGCATATATTAGCAGGTGATATATAAGAACAGGTAGTATGAAGAAAAATAAAGCAGAAGATAGAAAGTGAAGAAAGTTGCTACTTTTTTAAGGATAGAAAGACCTTTCTATGAATGGGACATCTGAACTAAGACCCGAATGAAAGGAAGGAGCCAGTCATAGGACAACTGGGGGGAGGGTGTTCCAGTCAAAGGGAACAGAGGGAAACATGAAAAGGCCTTGAGGCAGAAGCCTGTCCAGCATCCCCAAAGGATAGCAAGGAAGCCAGTGTGAATAAAGGGGAGAAAGATAGGTGAGGCCAGAAGTATTAGGGGCTGGATGATACACCGCCTTGTATAGACCATGATAGAGACTTTTGATGTTATTCTACAGTGTGACAGGGAAGCCTTTGAAGGATATTGAATTTTATCTTTATTTCCTTTTTATTTTTAAGGGAACACTGGCTGTTGGTTGGAGAGTAGATCAAAAAAGACAAGAGTGGAAGCAGGGAGACCACTTAGAGGCAGGAGACCATTTGGAGGCTAGTGCTATAATCCAGGCCAAAGGTGGTGGTGGCTTTGAAATCACTGGTGGTGACAGACATGACATAGTGATGAATGTTGGATGTGGAGTATATTCAGATGGCTTGCTGATGGATTGAGTAAGGGTGTTCAAAGGAAGAGAGGAATCAAGGATTACTCCAAAGTTCAGGGCCTAAGCAATAATCAAATAAATGAAAGTGTCATTCACAAAGACAGGAAACACCAGAGGCAGAGCTGACTCTCAGAAGGGAAATTAAGAGTTCAGGTTAATCGTGGCAAGTTTCACATGCCCATTGCTTTCCAACAGGCAGTATCAAGGTCTCAATTGGCTGGGAGAGTCTGGAGTTAAGGGGAGGGAGGAGGTCTAGAGATACCCTGTTGGGAGTTGTCACCATATATGTGGTGCTTATAACCATGAGTTTGGATGAAGTAGGGCCTGATACAGAGTAAGTACTCATTCTCTTTCCTTCCTGTATGAAAAACAAAAGAAGGGAGATTCCAGCTAGGGTGAGCATGAAGCAAGTAGAAAGTACTTGAGTTAAGCCTTTGAAGTATGGCTGGAATCTTAATAATCATAATTATAGGGAAATATAGCCAAGAAATAAGGAATAGTATAAACCAAAGCAAGGAGGTAGAGTAGTATATGTGCAAAAAACTGAGACTCACTAAGTGACTGAGGCATGAACTTCTTATAGGGAACTGGTGAAGAATCAGCCTGGAAACTCAGGTAAACTTGGAATGTATAGACTCAGAATCTATATTCAGGGGCTAATGAAGGGAGCCTTTGGAGGTTTATGAGCAATTTATGGTTTATGAGGTTTATGATAGAATTCAATTCAAGCAGTGCTTTTGTATGGTTAATCTAATAAACAAAAAAAGCAGAAACAGACTCATAAACACAGAGAACATACTGGTGGTTGCCACGGGAGGGAGAGGATGGGCAAAACGGGTGAAGGGGAGTGGGAGGTCCAGGCTTCCAGTTATAAAATGAACAAGGCGAGGGTATGTGCTATGGTGAGTGCTGTGAAGTGTGCAAGACTGTTGAATCACAGATCTGTACCTCTGAAGCAAATAATACACTATATGTTAAAAAAAAAAAAGAAGAAGAAGAAGAAGATAGCAGGAGGGGAAGAATGAAGGGGGGGAAATCGGAGGGGGAGACGAACCATGAGAGACGATGGACTCTGAGAAACAAACTGAGGGTTCTAGAGGGGAAGGGGGTGGGAGGATGGATTAGTACCGTGATGGGTATTAAGGAGGGCATGTACTGCATGGAGCACTGGGTGTTATATGCAAACAATGAATCATGGAACACTACATCAAAAACTAATGATGTAATGTATGGTGATTAACATAACAATAAAAAAAGAATGAACAAGGCATGGGGATGAAAGGTACAGCATCGAGAATATAGTCAGTGGTATTGGGGTAGTGTTGTGTGGTGACAAATGGTAGACACTTGTGATGAGCATGGCATAACATATGGAGTTGTTTGACTCACTGTGTTGTATGCTGAAACATTGTCAACTATACTTGACTGGAAAACATTTTTTAATAATATATTTAATGATGGATAAATAAAAGTAAATAAATAAAATAACAGGACCTGGAAAAAAATCTAAGGGTGCAGAATATATTTGAAATATATAAAAGTGAGAATTTGATAAACCAGACAGAAAGCTATTATAATACTCCATATTTGGATGAAAAGATGGAAGTATTTTTTAAATTCATCAGATTAAAGTACATTTTGGAAATACCAAGCATCTAAGAGATAGGATAAACTACTGGAAAAAGCCTGGCTGCAGAAGAGATAATCTCTAGTTTCTAGTAAAGTATATATTATTTGTGCTAAATACTGTATTACTCAATAAAGTATGATTCTCATACTCTAGCAAGTAGAGATTTTTCTCTATGTCAAAATTCTGATCCCACTATCACTTTCTTTTTGGTGTAATATTCCAAGTGTTAGATTTTTGTGACTGCCTCAATTTGAAGCCTTTGAGAAGCAGAATTCACCAAAATATTACTTTTAGCAGATTGGCTATTCCTTTATGTCCAAAGCTTTTTTGCTCTATAATTAAAATATCAATTCTTTCTTACAGAGACACGTGACACAGTCTGGGGGTAATCGTAAATTCAAGTGCACTGAATGTGGAAAAGCTTTCAAATACAAACATCATCTAAAAGAGCACTTAAGAATCCACAGTGGTAAATATTTGTTTTCTTTCTACACCTTGAATATCATAGTATATGTGGTCATAAATAAATCCCTTATAATGTGGTCTACACACATGGTCAGAAACTCTTTGCTTTTCTTGTAGAATAAAGACTAACCTGGAGAAATTTTCTATTTATAAATAGTATTTTATTGGAGTCTTAATCTTTAACTGAAGCATATTAAGCTAATATAATATGACATACTCCAAATTTCCTGATCAGAATATAGCATGTTTTAACAAGAAGTACAACCTCCTTGAGCTTTCTGAGGAATACTAATTTCATTGCCTCTTTTGCACAGTTAACTAGGAATGAAAAAGGAAATAGAGGTACGATTTGCACAAGAAAGTAAGGACGCAAAGACGTTCTGTACGTGAGAGAAATAGAAGTGGAAACTCCAGATAGGAAGTGGTCAAGGGTGATGTGGAGTCACCCAGACAGGGCAGCATTGAAAATTTAGAAGAAAAATGGGTTCACCTATCATTTCATCTTTCTATTCCACATTCTTGTCTAAATTTTACTTACAAAATGATATTATATTATCAAAAATGTCTGTTTTAGAAACTTAGAAACAAAAAGAGCTGCATTTGCGTGTCTTTAGGGGCTCTACTTCAACAAAAGCTGTAATGAAAACTTGGTAGCATCTCACATTGCACTATGACATCTATTCATCTGATTAATTTTGGTATGTTATTTTAGATTTAAATAGTAGTGAAAAAAAACTGTTTTCTAATTAATGAGAAATGATGGGTGTCTGCACACTGCTTATTTTGTGAAAATGATTGTATTGACATTTACATCTTATAGACATCCTACAAAAAGAGTACAGTGGGTGGTTTTGTGAGAGGTGACTGGTGTGATACCTGTGTTTTATTTTGGAACTACATTTCTAGAAGTTTCACTGTCTTGTTTGTTGAGGGCTAAATAATGTTAAAGTTACCAATTTGTTTAAACCAAAATTCTTGCAAAAACATTTATTTATTTTCACACTTTAATATTCCTGGAAATAAGAAGTTGTCTTTTGCAGTCTGCCACAAAATCCTATTTATTAACTTCTGGGCTATCAAAAAATTTTCATCAAGAATATATTTTTAATGACCTGCTTTCTTGCTACAGATGATTTGAAGTTATTGATAGAGATCTAGCTAATTCAAGGGAGTTTTCTTAAATGTTGAGATTGGGGTAGAAGAGGGAAAATAAAATTTAGAGCAAGATTCATGTACAGAATGAATGTCATATGGTCCTATTGCAGTTATATAGGATGTGGATCTGTCAGACCTGGTGCTGATATGGAATTGGGAAGCATGCATCACACGAGAGATTACAATGCAGAGCAGAAATGGAAGTTGATATTTAATCACAAAACTCTGCATTGATATTCAGAAATCAGTCTCAATCAAGTAGTAAGCAGGGAGCAACAGTCTGTAGTACTGACAGAAGAGTTTTAGGAGTTTGGATGGACAAGCACTTGATAGAAACTTGGTAATGGTACGCTGCTACCACCGTGGCTGAAGGAGCTGGTGCAAATTTAGGCCACATCGTGGAGCACAGAGCGTCTGCCGTACTCTGCATTGTCCATTCATTATGTGTTTATAGGATAGTCTTACCCTCAAGGGGAAGGAATATGAGACGTATATACCTTTAATACAGCAAGAAATTTTAATTCAAAAATATATTAGGAAAATAAAGTTAAGTAACACAGGCATGAAGTAAACATGAAATAAAATGGATACTATGACATGCCAAGCACATGCTGGAAGTGGACCACACATTAGACTCTAAGGTTTAGGAACTCAGAAAACTGCAATCAGTAACCAAGACCCAGACTGTCTGTAAGTGAAAGGAATCAGTCGCTAGGAAAAGTACAACTCTTCCTGCTACAAAGCCCATAGGGAAGCAAAATGCATTTGATATCATTTTCCAAAATATCCTTAAAATAGTACAGCAGAAAATTTGATAGGGTTTTCTTTTTAAAGTAAGATTCTCCATGGGACGCCTGGGTGGCTCAGTCGGTGAAGCGACTGCCTTCGGCTCAGGTCATGATCCCAGGGTCCTGGGATTGAGCCCCGCATCGGGCTCCCTGCTCCACGGGAAGCCTGCTTCTCCCTCTCCCGCTCCCCCTGCTTGTGTTCCCTCTCTCGCTGTGTCTCTCTCTGTCAAATAAAGTCTTTAAATAAAGAAAGAAAGAAAGATTCTCCAATAGAAAACCAGTGATATTTCACCAAAATGCAGTTTAGAAAAAGCATTTCTCCAGGGTAGCCACTTGGATACAATCCAGGTATACAGCTCTCAGATGGTCTGGTTTATTCCAAAGGAAGATTTCTGAGTTGGGGCTACTCAGTGTCATTCCAGGACTGGTACCAGTCTGTAAGCTTTTTTGAGACTGGTTCTTGAAGAGCTAAATATAGAAATTGAGAGTAATTTAGAAACTATTAGACGAAGAAAATGCTGTGATAATTTTATTATATTTTATACAATATTGATCTTACAGTAGATTGGAAATTTAAAACAAAAAACTGGGGGCACAGAAAGTCCTTCACCACAGATAGTTTTGAAAGAGCTGTTTAGAGTATCGAATAATGGATGAGCTTCATATTCTTCAAGAAACCTCTGTAATCTTTTTTTCTCAGCTCAGTTTTTAATCATGATCTTTAGATTATAGTCCCTAAAATTACCTGGATTGTTGCTATCTTCCGACACCATTAAAACGAGCCATATGCAGAGTCATGTGTTTTAGCCATCATCTGAACTCCTCATGTGGGAGCTGAGCTATGATGAGGAGCAGGTCACCTCACCTCCACTCAGAGGTGAGACAAAAAAGGCTCCTGTTCCCGGGCTCTGATCCCCCCCAGAAATAACTTGGGTTTGTTCCATAGCCCTATGAACTTTAGCCTGCCCTATGAACTTTACGTAAAAGTTTTTACGTAAGATGCAACCAAACGTCCACCTCAGCCATTACAAAAAAGAAATCAGTATTCATAGGACATCTGACTTTTTACAGCACAACTTCACCTCCAGGGTTTAACAGTTGCTAGACAGACAAATTAAGTGATGTACTTTAGCTATAAACCATAAAGCTATAAAGTTAGAAACAAGGGGTTTTCCAACAAACATAGCGGATTTGGCTTTAGAACAATTGTTCTGCACTTTCTTTCTGGCAATGATAAAATATCAGGTAATCCCCAACAATAATACTGATGACTAGCATTTATTGAGTACTTAACTATGTACAGCCACATTCTAGTTATTTGTGTACATTAACTCATATAGTCCCAACGATAGCCCGATGAGGTAGATGCTATTACTTCTTCCCTTTCTACTGATGAGAAAATGGAGGCTCAGAGAGCTTACGTAACCTATCCAGAGTCACTCAGCTAGTCCATGGCAAAGCCGGGGCCCCAGTATAAGTATCCTGACTCCAAAGCTGTTGCCTTAGCCACTGGGCTCCTCTATCTCCCTGTCTGTAAAGATAAAAATAATCTGTGGGGCGCCTGGGTGACTCAGTTGGTTAAGCATCTGCCACCTTCTGCTCAGGTCATGATCTCCAAGTCCTGGGATCAAGCCCCATGTCAGGCTCCCTGCTCAGCAGAGAGTCTGCTTCTCCCTTTCCCTCTGCCTCACCGCTCCTGCTCTCTCCCTCTCCCTTTCTCCTTCTCTCAAATAAATAAAATCTTTTTTAAAAATAATCTATATTATAAATTCTTATTTTCCAAGTGTCTCTAACAAGAGAACAAGCATATGGCTCATCTAAAAAAGTTATGCAAGAATTTAAAATGTTAAAATAGAGATACTAGAACACATCCCTTGCCTTACACCCCTTCCTCCCAGAAATTTACCTCATGCAGTTTGAGTATTGAATCATATTTCAGGCATCCCATTGGAAAGATACTGATAAACTGGAGAATTTCCAGAGATGAGGTAACAAGTGGGTAAGTGGGAAGGGTTCTAAAAACCATGTCCCATGAGGAGTCTTTGAAGGACCTGGGTATATTTAGCCCACACAAGGGAAGTTTAAGGATACAGATGACCGCTCTTCATCAGTTTCAAAGTCTGACTTTTAGAAGAAAAGTTAGACTTGCTCTGTGTGGCATCAGAGGGAAGGCTAGGACAGGAAAGTAGGCATTATAACAAGGGAATTCTGGCTTAGTATTCGACCTATCTCTCCAGAGAATTAACTTTTTAAAAGATGCACTAACATGTATTAAGACCACACTAAGAGTTTTGCTATATTATGTCATATAACTGCTACAACAATCCAGTGAGGATGTGTGTACATTTATTTACACACCTAAACACTGAGGCTTGGAAAGATTAAGAAAACAGCCAGGGGCACCTGGGGGGCTCAGTCAATTGAGCATCCAACTCGTAATTTCAGCTCAGGTCATGATCTCATGGTCATGAGATTGAGCCCCGTGTTGGGCTCCATGCTCAGTGTGAGTCTGCTTAAGATTCTCTCTCTCCTCCTCTTTCTTCTCCTGCCCCACTCGTGACCCCACCTTTCTCTCTAAATAAATAAATAAATAAATAAATAAATAAATAAATAAATAAATAAATAAAATCTTTTTAAAAAACTAGTGGCAGAGCTAGGTCTTGAACCCAAATTCATGATCCTCAGCAGAACCAAACTAGACCATCTTCCATAGAGCTGTCCAGCAAGTAATAACCTCCTTTTAATAAAGGAGCTTAAGCAGGAGACTAGCTAAAGTCAAAGGTGATATAAAATGAACTCTTTTACTGTACAGGAGGTCCTCTTAGATCCCTTCCAGTTCTAATATCCTGTTCTTCAAGTAATTATACTTTTAGAAAATATAACTTACTTTCTAAAAACTTTACAACACTGAAATTACATTATTAGAAGAACTTACATTGAGTTTCTCACTGCTTTCATTTTCATTCTTAAAAAGAACAGAAGAGGGGCGCCTGGGTGGCTGCCTTCGGCTCAGGTCATGATCCTGGAGTCCCGGGATCGAGTCCCGCATCGGACTCCCTGCTCGGCGGGGAGTCTGCTTCTCCCTCTGATCCTCCCCCTCTCATGCTCTCTGTCTCCCATTCTCTCTCTCAGATAAATTAAAAAAAAAAAAAAAAAAAAACAGAAGAAAGAGTTTTATCTTGATACTGAGTAGATAAATAGCATCACCATATTCCATAATTTTGCAATTAGTCATTCATTCGTCCAAAAAAGGTTTATTGAGCATTTTTGACCTACACTTCAATAGGTACAAGGCATAAATGGCACATGAGACTCAAGTTCCTATCTTATTGAAACTGATAGTCTTTAACCTATAAATTATAAATGAATGAACGATAAATATAAATCAAAATTAAGGCAAAAAATTAGGGTTGTCTGAAAGTATTCCATTTGGCTCCATGCTTCTCAAAATTTTCTACTGAAGTATCCCTAACAGCCAACAAGAATGAATGTCTTCTCTCCTGGAAGGTCAAGGAAGCAACTTGATGTAAGCCCCTACAAGCAAGGAGCTTCTTTGACATTGTGGTTTTTTCCTAACAATTCACATAAATATTGTCTGTTTCTCCATGGTATAATCTGTGTTTTAATATTAAAATGTTTTAAATTACTGTAACTGCTGTCAATAAAATTGAAACTACAAGTTTTGCATACCCACTAGAACATTGCCTTCTAGCTCCAGGAATGCATACCTCCCAGTTTAATAAGCCAAGGCTGATAACAATACCTCATATGGAAAGTTTTCTGCCCATTGAGAAAGATCTTTTCAAGGAAACCTTAAAACCTTGTGGATATGGGAAGGATAGGTATTCGTACTTGTTAAGTCTTATATAAGGGAGATTTTACTTACTTTTCTTTCCTCTAATATTAATTTCTCCTGCAGATGGTTAAGTATAGTGAAATACAGAAAAATTACATAGGTAGATGAAATAGGGTAAGAAAAAAAATTACTTGTAAGAGAGATGTACATTTGACCCTTGAACAGTGCAGGGTTATGGGAGCTGGTCAAAACTCCACGTATAACTTTTGACTCCCCAAACCTTAACTACTGCTAGCCTACTGCTGACCAGAAGCCTTACCTGTAACAGAAACAATCAATTAATACACGTTTTGAATGTTATATGTATTATATACTGTACTGTTACAATAGAGTAAGCAAGAGAAAAGGGTATTAAGAAAACTCATTAAGGAAGAGAAAATACATTTGCAGTACTGTTGGGTATTTATCAAAAAACATCCCCGTGTTAAGTCAGCCCATGCAGTTCAAACCCATGTTGTTCAAGGGTCAACTAGAATTATTTTTGGCATTTGAGAATTATTTGAAGTTTTAAAGGTTAGCAGGAATATTATACACATATGCTGAAAAGACTTCCTTACAGGTTAGCATGTGTACTACAGACAAAGGTTTTGCTAGTCTTGATAACATTTATGTCAGTTTTGAACTTAACATGAATATTCTAAATAAAATTGTATCACAAGATACATGGAAATCTCTTTTTAAATCGATACTGCTTGTTTTAAGGAAAATATGGATACATGAAAACTTACATGTAATAATTCAGCAAATATAATTTTTTTTGTTTAGGAGAGAAGCCATATGAATGCCCAAACTGCAAGAAACGTTTTTCCCATTCTGGGTCTTATAGTTCACACATAAGCAGTAAGAAATGTATCAGCTTGATGCCTGTGAACGGGCGACCAAGAACAGGACTCAAGACGCCTCAGTGTTCCTCGCCATCTCTTTCGGCATCACCAGGCAGTCCCACACGACCACAGATACGGCAAAAGATAGAGAATAAACCCCTTCAAGAGCAACTTTCTATAAACCAAATTAAAACTGAACCTGTGGATTATGAATTCAAACCCATAGTCGTTGCTTCAGGAATCAACTGTTCAACCCCTTTACAGAATGGGGTTTTCAGTGGTGGGGGCCCATTACAGGCAACCAGTTCTCCTCAGGGTGTGGTACAAGCTGTTGTTCTGCCAACGGTCGGTTTGGTGTCTCCCATAAGTATCAACTTAAGTGATATCCAGAATGTACTTAAAGTGGCAGTAGATGGTAATGTAATAAGGCAAGTTTTGGAGAATAATCAAGCCAATCTTGCCTCCAAAGAACAAGAAACAATCAGTGCTTCATCCATACAGCAAGGTGGCCATTCTGTTATTTCTGCCATCAGTCTTCCTTTGGTCGATCAAGATGGAACAACCAAAATTATCATTAACTACAGTCTTGAGCAGCCTAGCCAACTTCAAGTTGTTCCTCAGAATTTAAAAAAAGAAAACCCAGTCCCCACAAACAGTTGCAAAAGTGAAAAGTTACCAGAAGATCTTACTGTTAAGTCAGAGAAGGACAAAAGCTTTGAAGGAGGAGTGAACGATAGCACTTGCCTTCTGTGTGACGAATGTCCAGGAGATATTAATGCACTTCCAGAATTAAAGCACTATGACCTAAAGCAGCCTGCTCAGCCTCCTCCACTCCCTGCAGCAGAAGCTGAGAAGCCCGAGTCCTCTGTTTCATCGGGTGGAGATGGCAGTCTGTCTCCCAGTCAGCCACCTTTAAAGAACCTCTTATCTCTTCTAAAAGCATATTATGCTTTGAATGCACAGCCGAGTGCAGAAGAGCTCTCAAAAATTGCCGATTCGGTAAACCTCCCACTGGATGTAGTAAAAAAGTGGTTTGAAAAGATGCAAGCTGGACAGATTTCAGTGCAGTCTTCTGAACCATCTTCTCCTGAACCAGGCAAAGTAAACATCCCTGCAAAGAACGATGAGCAGCCTCAATCTACAAATGCAAATGAACCCCCGGACAGCACAGTAAATCTACAAAGTCCCCTGAAGATGACTCACTCTCCAGGATCAGCCGTCAATGGTTCCAGAAGTAGTCCATCATCCCCATCACCTCTAAACCTTTCCTCATCCCGAAATACACAGGGTTACTTGTACACAGCAGAAGGTGCACAAGAAGAGCCACAAGTAGAACCTCTTGATCTTTCACTACCAAAGCAACAGGGAGAATTATTGGAAAGGTCAACTATCACTAGTGTTTACCAGAACAGTGTTTATTCTGTCCAGGAAGAACCCTTGAACTTGTCTTGTGCAAAAAAGGAGCCACAAAAGGACAGTTGTGTTACAGACTCAGAACCAGTTGTAAATGTAATCCCACCAAGTGCCAACCCCATAAATATTGCTATACCTACAGTCACTGCCCAGTTACCCACGATCGTGGCCATTGCTGACCAGAACAGTGTTCCATGCTTGCGGGCACTAGCTGCCAATAAGCAGACTATTCTGATTCCCCAGGTGGCTTACACGTACTCGACTACAGTCAGCCCTGCAGTCCAGGAACCACCCTTGAAAGTGATCCAGCCAAATGGGAATCAGGTAAAGAAAAGGCCCCTATCCCAAAGCTATTCACTAAAATGCTAGTTTGACTTCTTTCGGTGAAATTTTTCAGATAAAAATCAGTCTCTGTAGAGCCGAGCAGATTGTTACATACTATCATTTTTGAGAGGAAATAGATGAACATTTGCTTTAACTTTCATAGCATCTCGCCTTCAGTTTCTTACTAATCCCAGGTATGGTTATCAACTACAGTTGTGTTATTCTCCTGGGGAAATGAGAAGTCTCAGCTAAAGACTTGACTATCTGAAGCTTGAAACAGAAGAAAAATTGGAATACTCACCAATTGGACTTCTGTTTCTAGAGTTATATTCCCAAATTAGTAACAGTTTCTGCTGTATCATCATTAATGCATGAAAATACATTCCCATTCACAGACATTTCACACCAGCAAAACTGAGCTATTACTTTTTATGTGTTAACACCTATATTTATTAAAGGCTTTAATTAAACAAGACTTAAGTATACAAAGAGCTCACCTAGTGAATCTGCTGATCACTTTATGAGCTGTAAACTGAAACAGTATTCAGTCATAATTAATATATATGAACCTATATGTGCATTTTCCTCCTTACCTTCCCCCCCAAATCCATGATGCAGTTTTAGATAGAACCATTTTGTGTACTATTGTGTGCCTCATTATCCAGACTTTTTCTAGGTTACTAACCTTGATGGCCTCCCAATTTTTTTCATTGGTTTCTTATTGAATCAACCATATACTAGAGATAAATGTGATCTTTCATCCAAATATTTGCTATAAGTAGGTACAGCTGAAATAATTACAACATCCTGTTCAAATGTATATCTGCTGCTTTTTTTTCCCCCTTAAAAATTGCTACTGATTGGGTTTCCTGCAATTGTGGTTACTCTTGAAAAAAACTCTCACACAACTAATGAATTCATATAGACTCTCGGTGTTTAAAACACTGTGCACACCTTTGAATAATAAAGGGGGACCCACCAACATTTCACTTAATCATATGGCCACGTCAGATAGCAATGAAAGTCGTGAAGTTACTTTAGCACAAACTGGCAGCTCACAAACCACCCAGGCAAATGGCCACGCCTCTCCCACTTTGCAAAACTATAAGAAATGTTGTGAAAAACCTTTGAGATTTAGACTATTTGTGGGCTTAGAGGCAATAGAATGGAAGGCTTGAGGAAAGACATAAGGATCTTGAGGGACCCAACTCCACTACCAGTCATTGTTTACCTACATGAGAGCTTCCCACACATTACCGCCCTGGGACTGCCTGAAATGTTTTATTCCACTGAAATTCTGAAGATTTATTTTGTCTAGCAAGTATTCTTCCTTCCAAAATAGAGACCCTCCTGCATTGTTTTGCCATCTTTTTCCTTAGCAAAGTGGTAGAGCAAACCCCTCTCTTTTCAAAGAAACCATGGATGTCAGTTCATAGACTTCTGAAGTTTCGGAGGATACAATTGAAAGACCACCTTTAAAAATAGAATCTTGGGGCACCTGGGTGGCTCAGTTGTTAAGCGTCTGCCTTCGGCTCAGGTCATGATCCCAGGATCCTGGGATCGAGCCCCTCATCGGGCTCCCTGCTCAGTGGGAAGTTTACTTCTCCCTCTCCCACTCCCCCTGCTTGTGTTCCCTCTCTCGCGGTGTCTCTCTCTGTCAAATAAATAAAATCTTTCTAAATAAATAAATAAATAAAAATAGAATCTTAATTTTTGCTTAGTAAAACCCAGAAGGAAAACAATGAAGGCAAATAATGCAGTTAGAGATTGGTGATGATGTAGCAAACTCATAATTTAAAATTTTCTGCAAATTTCTCACAAAGTCATGATTTGTTTGAAACCAGGTAAATTTTGTTACATTTATAAATTTTATACATTTTACATTCTTTCTTTTCATCAGTTGATCACTTGTTTTTGTCATCGTTGTGACTCTTTTGCCCCCAACCTCACTTTTTTCTGTATCAACCCCCACCTCACATCCAGCCCCCCGCCCTTGGAGCCTGTCTGCTGCGATGAGTAGTATTCCTGCTTTGGTCAAGCTATTGAAAGTATAAATCAAAGTAGTTTTTTAACCTGTGCTTTTATATATGTCTCTTGCTTACCTTTTAATTTGAAATTAAATGTTCTTCTTTTCTTTCTTTAGGATGAAAGGCAAGACACTAGCTCAGAAGGAGTATCAAATGTAGAGGACCAGAATGACTCGGATTCTACACCACCCAAAAAGAAAATGCGGAAGACAGAAAATGGAATGTATGCTTGTGATTTGTGTGATAAGATATTCCAAAAGAGTAGCTCACTATTGAGACATAAATATGAACACACAGGTATGTCGCTGAACCTGACAGCTTTTGAAAAATGACTCTGTAACCCTTTCCGCAAACTGAAGTGCCCCCAAAAGCCTTCGGAGGATTTTGTGTCATGGCTGTGTTCTTATTTTGCAGGTAAGAGACCGCACGAGTGTGGAATCTGTAAGAAGGCATTTAAACACAAACATCATTTGATCGAACACATGCGGTTACATTCTGGAGAAAAGCCCTATCAATGTGACAAATGTGGAAAGCGTTTCTCACACTCTGGGTCTTATTCCCAACACATGAATCATCGCTACTCCTATTGCAAGCGAGAGGCGGAGGAGCGCGACAGCGCGGAGCAGGAGGGGACGGGACCAGAAGTCCTGGCCGGCGAGCACGGGGGGGCCCGGGCATCTCCCTCACAGGCCGACTCGGATGAGAGGGAGAGTCTGACGAGGGAAGAGGATGAAGACAGTGAAAAAGAGGAAGAGGAGGAGGAGGACAAAGAGATGGAAGAACTGCAGGAAGAGAAGGAATGTGAAAAACCGCAAGGGGAGGAGGAGGAGGAGGAGGAGGACGAGATGGAGGAGGAGGAGGGGGAAGAGGCAGAGAATGAGGGAGAAGAGGCAAAAACTGAAGGTCTGATGAAGGATGATGAAGCTGTAAATCAAGTGAGCAGCTTCGAACAAAAAGTGAGCAAGAATAGTGAGCAGGTGTCTGAAGAAAAAACAAATGAAGCCTAATAGTTTTTCTAGAAGGAAAATACATTCTAATTGGTAATGAAGTTTGTTCTATATTATACATGCTTTTCATGGGAACACAGTAACCTGTATACTGTGGTTTCTGTTCACTACTGTGTAAAGTAAAAATTTAAAAAAATACAAAATACAAAAAAAAAAAAAAAAAACCCACACAAAAAAAAAATCCGGGTGTGCCTGATCTCAGACCTAGTAATTTTTCATGCATTTTTCAAAGTTAGGAACAAGTTTGTAACACGAAGCAGATTAGAAAACTTTAATGACTCGGAAAGCAAAGATTTAACAGGTTAAAGGAAACTGATTAATTAGATAAGCATCTGGCATTGTTTCATTTTGTCAGTATTATCACTCTTACGTTGGTTTATTCTTAAGCTGTACAATTGGGAGAAATTTTATAATTTTTTATTGGTAAACGTATGCTAAATCCGCTTCAGTATTTTATTATGTTTTTTAAAATGTGAGAACTTCTGCACTACAAAATTCCCTTCACAGAGAAGTATAATGCAGTTCCAAACCGTGCTACCTTTTATAAATTCAATCTAGAAGGTAGTAATTTCTAATATTTAGATGTCATAGTGGAGTATTATCATTTCAAGTGTATTGTTAGCCTTAAGAAAGCAGCCGATAGAAGAACTGAAGTTTCTTACTCATGTGGTTTAAAATGAAGTTCAGAAGATTGTCATTGAGTTCTGATTGCAGGGACTAACAGTGTTAATCCTGGGAAGGGTAGCAGAGTCGTCAGAATCAGTGTTCGTAATTGTGTTTGAGTATGTGGTGACAAATATGAAGGATATGATATGAAGCTTTGTATCTCCTTTGGCCTTAAGCAAGACCTGTGTGCTGTAAGTGCCATTTATCAGTATTTTCAAGGCTCTAACCCGCCTTCGTTCAATGTGTGGCCTACAATAACTAGCATTTGTTGATTTGTTTATTGTATCAAAATTCCAAATAAAACTTAAAACCACTGACTCTGTCAGAGAAACCTAAACACTGGGACATTTCATCCTTTAATTCCTCAGTATTCATTTTGTGTTAATTGACTTCCAAAATTTCTCTACAGAAATGAAAGGGAAATTTTCTAATCTGCTCTGTCCATGTACTTGCATTTCAGACATGGACATGCCATTGTTATTTGGCTCATAACTGTTTCCAAATGTTAGTTATTATGGACCCAGTTTATTAACAACATTAGCTGATTTTTACGTATCAGTATTATTTTATTTCTTTTAGTTTATAGATCTGTGCAACATTTTTGTACTGTATGTCTTCAAACCTGGCAGTATTAATACCCTTCTTACTGACATGTACTTTTAGTTTTAGAAAACTTTTATATTTATGTGTCTTATTTTTATATTTCTTTATTTATTACACAGTGTAGTGTATAATACTGTAGTTTGTATTAATACAATAATATATTTTAGTATGAAAATTTGGAAAGTTGATAAGATTTAAAGTAGAGATGCAATTGGTTCTCTTGCATTGAGATTTGATTTAACAGTGTTATGTTAACATTTATACTTGCCTTGGACTGTAGAACAGAATTTAAATGGGAATGTATTAGTTTTACAACTACAACCAAGTCATTTTACCTTTACCCAGTTTTTAATATAAAACTCTTAAATTTTGAAATTCACTGTGTGACTAATAGCATGATGCTCTGCAGTTTTATTAAGAGATTAGCCTAACCATAAAACTCTCATTTCCTTAGTAAGCCAAATTAGGATAACCTTCTATAAACAGTGTTGGGAACAATGTTTAACATTTTGTGCCAATTTGTTCCTGTATTCATGTATGTAAGTTACAAATCTGATTCTTCATTTTTAAGTTCCTTGTTACACCATGGTCATTTTCTAGTTTTTTACCAGACTCCCCCATCTCACAATAAAATGCATCAACAAGCCTGACCTGATGTCATTCTTTTCATTATTATCAAGATTTTCTTTGGAAAGCTCTCTGAAACGGGGTATTGCACAGTCATCCTGCCCTCAGTTTACCTTGGGCTGAATGTGGGTAACAAACTAAATGTTTTCGACATTCACCACTAAATCATGGACTTCCCTGTGGCTGAATGTTTCTGGGAAGATCAGAGTTGGCAACTAAAGGCTTCCTCAGAGCTTGCTCCCTCTTCCTGAAACCTTAACCACACCCCCTTATGATCCTGTGACTTCTCATCCTCAGGTCACTTCAGGGAAGCCCGGGTGTAGATGCCTTTCCTCTGTACGTTCCTCGTACCTTTCTTGCCACAGCTCTTACGCAGTTATTTTATTCCCTCCCCACGAGGAAGAGGAACCATATCTACCAGAGTCACTCTCACATCCCCAGTGCCTAGCAGAGTGCCTGGCACTAGTAGGTACAACAGATTTTATTGAATGAAAATGTAATTTGCATGTTAACAGAGCTCAGCTATGTCTTTACTACTCTCTTGCCTCTAATCCAAGAATATGTATATTAAATAATTCTAGCAATCTAATATTTTTCTTACTCAGGTCCTACTAAACATTTGACGTCATAGACAGTAAATTATGCTGCCTTTTTCAATAGAATGCCTTACTCTTCTGATTTGAGAGTTTATTTCTAGGTGTCTTTCTGATGCTTTCCCTCATGGGACATGACACAAGCATTCAAAGCCTGTAGATATGACTGCTTCCAGTATGAACGATGTGACCAATTCTAGGACCCACTTCTGTTTCTATGACCCCACATTCCTAAGTCCTCATTAACGTCATGTTGCTTCATTTCTTCTGTCACTGAGAACAGCTACCCAATAAACACCATGTAGGATTAGGAAATAAGAATAACCCTTCCTAGGAGGCCTTTATACAGCAATCACTGTAATAAGAAGCTCAAAAAGGCGGTGCTTGACATATTGATAAATGGCTAACAAAGGAATCTAGCTATTATCAGAGAAGTTTTGGAAAGGAAGACAAGTGAACACTTCCCAGTATTTGCCTAAATCACATAACAGTTGAGACATACGTTATTTATTTGTGCCATGTAAAGGTGCTTTACTACTATTATCAAAATTAATTTTCACAAAATACATATAAAAACCATGTGCTCATGAACACACACACACACACACACACATATTAATACCAGAATAAGGATTTAAACATAGGCTTATCTGGCTCTAAATCCATGTTCTTAACTAGCTTGTATCACATCTCCTATAAGAATAGCTCACACTAATTTAAACTCGAACTTGGCCTTAGAGAATATGAGAAGAAAATGTCACCAAGACCAATATACATTTCATAACAGGATGAAAAAGGAAAGGAGGGGCATGAGATTTCTCAAATCTGTGTGCAAACTTTAAAATTAGCCTTGAAAACATGAAACTACAGTAACTTAGTTTTCTCCTCTTAAGATCAAGGGAAGACATACTAGGACAATCACAATATGGACTTTGTCTCTGAACCTTAAGAAAAAGCAGAAGCTCCTCTGCTCTAATGAGCAAATACATTCCATTCAACACAGCAGAATACACATTTTTTTTTCCCAATAGCACATGGGACATTCATAAAGAGAAACCATATTACGGGCCATAAAACAACTCTCAAATTCAAAAAAATTGCAAATAAAATGTTTTCTCAGACTACAAAAAAATTAAACTAGAAATCTATAACAGAAATATATCTAGAAAATCCCCCAAAATTATTGGAAATAATACAAACACGTTTCTAAGTAACCCATGGGTAAAAAAAGAAATTAACAATTATAAAATAGGGTGAGCTAAATGAAAATGCACTATATCAAAACTTATAGTGTGCAGCAAAAGCAGTGCATATAAGAAAATTTATAGCATTAAATGCTTATATTAAAAAAAAAATAGAGGGCTCAAGTATCTAACCTACCTTAAGAACTAGAAAAAGAATAAAATTAAATCCAAACCAAGCAGAAAGGAAGCAATAATAAAAGACTAGTGGGGATGCCTGGGTGGCTCTGTCATTAAGCATCTGCCTTCGGCTCAGGTCATGATCCCAGGGTCCTGGGATCGAGTCCTGCATCGGGCTCCCTGCTCGGTGAGAAGCCTGCTTCTCCCTCTTCCTCTGCCTGCCGTTCCCCCTGCTTGTGCTCTCTCTCTCTCTGGCAAATAAATAAATAAAATATTTTTTAAAAAGACAAATTAATGGCATAGGAAACAAAAATAATAAATCAATGAAAAAGAATAAATCAATGAAATCAGAATCTGATTCTTCAAAAAGATTAATAAAATTGATAAACCCCCAGCCAATAAAGAAAAAAAGGAGACATAAATTGCCAATATCAAGAATGAGAGAGAAGACATCCTTGCAGATCCTACAGACCAAAAGGATAAAAAGAAAACATGAACTTTATCCCAATGAATTTGACAGCTTTGATGAAAATGACACATTTCTTGAAAGATCCAAAATACCAAACTCACTAAAGAAGAAATAGATAGCCTCAATAACCCAATGTCGATGAAGGTTTTTTAATTTAAATTTCTAGTTAAAAATCTCCCCACAAAGACTACAGTCCCAGACAGCTTCACTGGTGAGTTCTACCAAATATCTAAGGAACATATCGTACCAATTCTACATAAACTCGCTGAGAAAATTAAAAAAGGAGAAAACACTTCCACCTTAGTCTGTGAAGCCAGCATTAACCTGATACCAAAACCAGGAAATGACATTACAAGAAACAAAATCTACATACCAACATCTCTCATGAATATTGATGCAAAAATCCTTAACAAAATATTAGGCAATCAATTTGAACAGTGTATCAAAAGGAAAATATCTCATGACCAAGTGGGATTTATCCCAGGATTGCAAGGTTGATTTTGAATTGAATTCAAAATTCAATTAATATAATGCATCATATTTACAAAACAAAAAGGAGGCCAAATAATCATCTTAATAGGTGTAGAAGAAGCATCTGACAAAATTCAACACCAAGTCATAAAAATTCTCAGCAATCTAGGAATAGAAGGAAATTTCCTAAACCTGATAAAAATCATCTCACAAAAAACCTATACTTAATATCATGCTAAGTTATAAAAAAATTAAATGCTTTCTCCCTAAATTATGAACAAGGCAAGAATGTCTGCTCTCACACTTTTATTAAACATTGCACCAGAGGTCACACTGGGTGCAACATGACAAAAAAAGAAATTAAAGGCACACAGGTGGGAAAAAATGTAAAATTGTATCTGCAGACAGCTTGATTGTCTATGAGGAAAACAAGGAATTTACAAAAAAGCAACTAGAAATGGTGAGAGCAAGGTTACAGGATACAAGGTCATTATACAAAACTCAATAATATTCTACTACATGGTAGTGATAAAAATGGAAATTTAAATTTAAAAAACAGTACCATCAAAAATGAAATATTTAGGGATAATTTAACAAAATTCACAAAAAAAAAAAAAAACAACCCTGTGCCCTGAAAACTATAAAACATTGCTGAAAGAAACTAAAGATGCAAAGAAAATAGATACTCCTTCTTTATGGATTAGAAAACTCAGTATCATTATGGTGTCAATCCTCCCCAAATTTATCTATTGATTCAATACAATTTCAGTGAAAATCCCAGCCACATAATTATAGAAATGGACATGCAAAGACTTAAAGTAGGCAAAACAATTTTAAAAAGGAATAAAGTTGGAGGACTTACACTGATTTCTAGAGTTACTATAAAGCTAGAGTGACTATAAAGTAGTCAATACAGAATTGTATTGACATGAGAATAGACATATAAATCAAGAAAACAGGATTAAGAGCTGAGAGAAGATCCATACATTGACAGTCAATCGATCATTGCCAAACGTGCCAAGATAACCCATCTTTAAAAATGTAGTGCTGGTATTAAATATCCATATGCAGGAAAATGAACTTGATCTGTACCTCCTACCATACACAGAAATTGTTTCAAAGTGGATTATAGACCTAAATATAAGAGCTAAAGTTGTAAATCTTGAAAACAAATTCTTTGTAACCTTGGGTTAAGAAAAGATTTCCAAGATAAGACACAAGAAAGATGAATGAATCATAAAGAAAAAATTGACAAATTGAACTTCACAAAAATTGTAAACTTTTGCTCTCCAAAGAAAATCAAAAGGGAAGACATAGATTGGGAGAAAATATTTGCAAACATGTATCTATATACCCAAGAGAAATGAAAACATACAACCACACAAAAAAACTGTATACCATGTTTATAGCAGCGTTGTTTATGATAGCTAAAAACTGGAAACAAACCCATTGTCAATCAACTGATGAATAGATAAATATGGTATACCCATAGAATGAAATAGTATTTGACAACAAAAGGAATGAAGTATTGATGCACCTTGAAAACTTTATGCTAAGTGAAAGTAGCTAGTCACAAAATACTACATGTTCTATTATTCCACGCTATGAAATGTCCAAAATAGGCAAATAGATTAGTGGTTGTCTAGGGCTAGGAGTAGGGAAAGAATGGATAGTGACTGCTAATGGATATGGGTTTCTTTCGGTATAATGAAAGTGTTCTAAGTTAGATTGTGGTGATATTTGCACAAGTCTGTGAATATACTAAAAACTATGGAACTGTACACTTCAAATGGGTAACTTTACGGTACATGAATTACATCTCAACAAAACTGTTAAAAATATGTGTATATAAATTTTGAATATATAAAGAACAATACAACTCAATAATAAGACAACCCAATTTTTTTAAGTAAGCAAAATATTTGAAAAGATAACTTTACCAAGGAAGGTCTAGAGATGGGAAAAAAGCACATGAAACAATGATCAACATCATTAGTAATTAGAGAAAGGCAAATTAAAACCACAACGTGTATCACTACACACCCAATAGAAGGCTAACATTCATAATCACTAAAACCCAGTAATACCAAATGTTGGCCAAGATATAGAGCAACTAGAATTTCCAGGCA